CCCCAAGGATGCGACATAACTCCGACGTCCTGCTCTGCACGCTGGGCCTACACCGCCTCGAGGAGCAGAATTGGCACACGGGCACAATCTCCTTCGGAGGGCGGCGCGCACTCCCCATAGGGGCGGCTCGTCGGCCCGGGGATCCATGCCTGATGGCCCAGGGGCCCGAAGGCGGCTTCTCCGGGGGCGGAAAAGAGGGGGGTGATGACTACCAGCCACGCGCAGAGGGGGGTGGGGGGAGGGGGGAGGGCTTCTTAGAAGCACCCCTGCTTCTTAGAAGGCGCGGGCCTTCTCTATAGATGTAAGGCCGGCAGCTTCTAAGAAGCAGCCTCCTTCTAAGAAGCCCTCCCCCCTCTGCTCACCCCCTTGTGCGCGCCGCCAGGACTAGGGGGGGTGGATATCATGGCGGGAGCATGAGATTTCCTCAGATTTCGTGGCGCCTCTTCTTATTTCATTGCGTCCCTGGCCCCCCCGCTGGGCCGCGCACATGCCGCCGGTCATGATTTGCACCCTCCCCTCTTGGACACCCCCCTCTTGGCCGCTCCCGACTTCTGGAGGCCGCAATCTGGGGTTCGCGTCGTGTCGGCCCGCGGCGACCCCGCCGCGGGTGTTCAACGTTGAAAGGTCGCCGGCGACCCAGAATCGGGCGATGCTGAACGATCCTGACGTTTCGGGAACGGCCGATCGTTCAAGGTTGAACGATCGGGCCGAACGAAAGGGGGGTAGGGAAAGGGGGGGGTTACGAGATCTGCTGCATGCAGCTGGCTTCGGCCCCGCCGCCGGGCCCATGCCTCGATACATGGGCGCCTCCCAGCGCTGGGAAATTCAGCTGCGTGAGCTGATTCTCTACCCTGCCCTCTGCTGCCCCCCCCTTTCGTTCCCCGACCTCCGCGAGGTCGGGAGCCAACGCCCGGGGTCGACACGACACGACCCTGCCGCAGGGCCTGAGGTGGCACCCGCGCCCCGCCCGAGCCGATTCTGGGCGGGGTCGCCCCTGGCGCGCTAGGGAGGGGGAAACACATGCAGACACAATGAATCGTCGATTCCCAGAAAATATGGGAAAATATGGGAAGTGGGGGGGGAAACAGCAACCCAGAAGATGTGGGAAAACATGGGGAATCTTTTTATTTGTGTGTATTTATTTGTGTGTCCTGGGGCCCCTTCACGCGCTGCCTTTCGCCGCGCCTCTCCGCCTGCCTGCGCCTGCCCGGTCTCGCTCCCTCCTCTCGCTGTCTGGCTCCAGGCCTCAGGCAGGCGGCCGATCCGCTCAATCCCTGCCTCGGGCGGGGCCCGGGCCGGGATAGAGATCGCTCCAGAGCGTTCCGGGGCGCCCGCACGGCGTCCTGGAGCGCGCTGGAGTGGCCGCGGCGCTCGACACGTCCTCTGGGACCACCTGGATCGTGGAAGTCTCCCCGGTTCAGCCCGGTCCGATTTTGTCTGGGTCTTGGTTTCGGCTGGGTATCTTTTGCCCCAGGCGCCGAGGGGTATGAATAGGGGGCCACATGCGAACCCTACCCCTACCCCCCACGATTTCTGAAGGGGATGGGTGGGGTTCACTTCGTTCGGGAGCTCACGAGCGAAGTGAACCCCACCCATCCCCTTAAGAGTCGTGGGGGGGCAGGGGTAGGGTTCGCATGTGGCCCCCTGATGGAGCATATGCGCAGGAGCCTCTGGCCTCCAGAGGCGGGGGGCCTCCATCCGCCCCCCCCTCTGGCCCCTTCGCGTGGGGAGGGGGCGCGGGCAGGGGTCGGCCACGCGCAGAAGGGGGGTGTGGGGGGAGGGCGGCAGGCTTCTTAGGATCGGCCTTAAGTCGGGCCTGTCCCCCTACCAGGGGATGTTCGACGAAAAACTGAAAAATATGTACAAAAAATAGTCAAAAGATCGTAAACAACTAGTCCGGGGACAATGTTTGGGCCTTTTCTGAGGTATTTTTGGGGTATTTTTCATTTTTCGGGAAAAATCCCCCTGTAGGGGGACACGCCCGACTTAAGATCAGCCCTGTTTCCTAGAAGGCGCGGGCCTTGTCTGTTGATGTAGGGCCCGCGCCTCTCAAGAAGCATGGTGCCTCTAAGAAGCCTTCCCCCCTCGCCCCTGCCCCCCTTGTGGACAGCTCGTCGATCGCCCATCCAAGTGTCCAGAAAAGCCCGATGGAGTTTCGTCGTCGTCTTCAACGTCTGCAGACCAGTTTTGGGGCTCATGTCAAGAAGCAAAACATATATGCGCTGAACAAGTTCAAGGGGCAGAACCATTACTACATAATTTGTTGCTTGGCTTTGGTCGGAGCCTTTTTCAAAACATCCGCCGCGGAGTATACGGTGGAGACCCATATCAAGAATCACCCTGCTTGCCTTCGGGGTGCCCTGGGTTTCTTGGGGTTCGATTGTTTTGCGATGGAATGCGTTACGCTCCCACGCCAAAAATCAACGGACGTCCTGGGGTCTCAGGGTTGGGTTTCTCGTGGAAGTTTTCCTGTGGACCGGCCCCCACTGTGTGAGGCGCACGTCGGCCGGCGCCGCGTGCGCCGAGCGCACACTTCTCGACCGATGTGGGGCGTAAGCGGAGCAGTAGAGCACGAGATCTAAATCGGGCCTGTCCCTCCACAGGAGGAGTATTCAAAAATAGTCAAAAAATAGTCTGGGGACCATGTTTTGAGTATTTTTTGATATTTTTGAATATTTGTTGGGTACTTTTCGTCCAAAATCCCCCTGTAGGGGGACAGGCCCGACTTAACACGAGATCAAGGCGCTGCCGCGTGCGCCGAGCACACTTCTCGACCGAGATGGGGCGTAAGCGGAGCAGCAGCTGAGCACGAGAGATCAAGGCGTCGCCTCGCTCGGTTGTCCTAGCCCGAGGGTGGCGGAGAATCGGGGTACAAACGGCGTCACCCCAACATGCTTATACTATATGTGCGTCGCCCCCCCCCCCCCCCCGGGGAGTCGCGCGCACCGAGAAATTTTGTAGTACATGCGCCGTGGCGGGCGTTTCCTGGCCACACCGCTCGGGAAACGCTATACTACACGGTGGTTATGCTACATGTTCGGGTCGGACGCGCGCCTCCAAGGAGAACGTATAGTACTAGTATGTCTCTGTGCGTCCCATACAAGTCTGAAATTGCACGCGACCAGTCCAGCAAAGCTGCAGTCCAGAGGGGCGCGCCTGGGCGCACCTTCTCGGCTGCAGTTCGGTGCGTGCTTCGGGAGCTCTCGTCGACCCTGGGTGCGAGGCCCCCATGGCGGGTGGGGGGCGGGCTCCAGGGCGCCCGCCGCTACGAGACACAACCCAAAGGAGTTGTATTGAAAAGAAAGGCGGGCGGGGGGGCGCACAGCGAAGCGCCGAGGGGTCGGCCCTGTCCAGTCAGGCCTTCCGCTACTGGACACAACCCAAAGGAGTTGTATTAAAAAGAAAGGCGGGTTGTGTCTAGTAGCGGAAGGCCTGACTGGACAGGGCCGACCCCTCGGCGCTTGCGAGCTTCGCAGGCCCGTCCCACCCCCCAACAAGAACAGATTTCAGGCTCGTGTGACTGTTGCGTCTGCTCAGTTCAGAAACTTGTTGGTCGCTCCAAGGGATTTCTCGCGGATTCTGCGTGCCCTATCGTTCTTCGCGGGTGTAGACCTTCTGGTGCTCCTTGTGATCGTTGACTGGGCGGTTTGGGGCGATTTGGGGGCGTCTCCGGCCCCTCTTGGGGCAGTCTTGGGGCGTTCTTGGGCCCGTGTGGCCGCCTCTTGGGCCGTCTTGGAGCCGTCTTGGGCCATCGGGGGCCATCTCGGGAGCCTCTTGGTTTGTGTCGGGGCGGTCTTGGATGCCTCTTGGGCTCTCTTGGAGCGTCGGATAGCCGAAAAGGCGAGAAGGCTGAAAACCTCCAAACAGCCAAGGAAAAGCAGTGATCTTTGTCTCGTGGGGGCCTCTTGGGAGGCCTCTTGGAAGCCTCTTGGGCCGTCTGGGCGGCCTCTTGGGCCGTCTTGAGGCCATCTTGGGTGGTTTTGGGCGATTTGGGGGCGTCTCCAGCCCCTCTTGGGGCCGTCTTGGGGCGTTCTTGGGCCCATGTGGCCGCCTTTCGGGCCGTTTTGGAGCCCTCTTGGGCCATCGCAGGGCCATCTCGGGAGCCTCTTGGGCTGTGTTGGGGCGGTCCTGGAGGCCTCTTGGGCCTTGTTTGGGCGGCGGAAAGCCGAAAAGGCGAGACGGCTGAACACCTCCAAACACCCAAGGAACATCTGTGACTTTTGCCCCTTCGGTCGCCTCTTGGAAGCCTCGATGGGCGTGTGTGGGGCATCGAGGGCCATCGTGAGGCCAACCTGGACCGCCTTGGGACGCTGCTGGCTTCTGGCCGTAGGGCCTGCCACCTATTTGTCGACTCATTGGGCCGCTCCTGGACGGTTCCAGAGGCCTCCAGGCCCGCGCCCCAGAGATCCGGTGTCTCTAGCGGGGACTTGCTGGGAGTTGCCCGGGGTACTTTTCGTTCCAGACCCCCCAGGGGCCGCCACGCGCGCGCGCGAGCTAGAACATGGTTAACTTGTTATCGGAGATCTTAGCACGCCTCTGGCCCGTTGGGCCAGCGAATTTTGCGTTCCTTACGTTAGCACGCTGAGTGTATCCTCCTCCTTACCTTCACGTCTTTCTCCTCCTCCTCTTCTTCCTCCTCCTCCTCCTCTCATTCCTTTCCCGCTCCTCTTGCTCCCCCTCCGCCTCGTCATCCTCCTGCTGCGTCGGAAACCTCCGAGAACCCTTGGAATTGACGATAGCCCAGAAACCACAGAAAATGCCCGTCCGACAGCGACGACTGCTCTGGCAGCGGCGGCCACGACGACGGCCGACGGCGCCTCTGGAGGCCTCCTGAGGCCCAAGAGGGGCCCTCTGGAGGCCTCGAGGCGCCTCCAGGATCGAAGGCGACCGGCGGCGGCGGCGGCGGCGGGGGGCCGACAATCGACGACCGACGACCGACGGCGTTGGCGGCGGCGGCGGCAGCGGCAGCGGCGACTGGCGGCGGCGGCGGCCGCGCCCAGGAACGCCGCGGGGGTGCCGCGCGCGAAGCCTGGCGGCTGCAGCCAAGGGCGGAATGAGCTCTCTCCACGCGGCGGCCGCCGTCGTCGGCGTCGTCGTCTGCCGTGCGTCGTTGGCCGCCAGTCGTTCGCTGCGCAGCGTGCACCTCCCCAGGGGCCGAGGCTTTGGACGCTGCCGCAGGCTCCTGGAGGTTTCCAGCCGCGGGGTGCTCTCCAGCAGGTGCGCCTCCCCGAGGGCGCTCTGGGGTGGCCGGATCGTCCCGCGCGGCCGCCAGAGCTCCGGCCCGAAGGCCACGGCTCCTCTCGTGGGGTGCTCTCGCTGTGCGGCGCGCGTGTGGATCATCGGGTCGTCTTAGGTCGGGCATGTCCCTTCCCTCTACAGGAGGAATGTTCAAACATAGTCCAAAGAATAGTCTGGGGACGATGTTTCGATTATTTGTCTGATTATTTTCGATCTTGTTTTCGAATTCGGTAGTCGCCGCTCGCCTCGCCGCCGTTCTCCTTCCTTCCTAAGCGTAAGTCGGGCGTGTCCCTCTACAGGAGGAGTATTCAAAAATAGTAGAAAAATAGTCGGGGGACGATGTTTCGAGAGTATTTACACACACATCTATATATATATATATATATATATATATATATATATATATATATATATACATATATATATCAAAATCCGCCTGTAGGGGGACACGCCAGACCTCACATTAGGTAGTCGCCGCTCGCCTCTCCGTCGTTCGCCTTCCTTTCTAAGGCTGTGCCCGTCCATTCGCCTTCTGCTCCCACCGCCTGGGCTCATGACCCCCGATTCTCGGAGTTTTCGGGGCCCGGGTATATAAGTCGGGCTTGTCCCTTTACAGGAGGAATCTTCAAAATGGCAAAAATAGTCAAGGGACGTTTTTTTTTTTTTTTGCGATTTCTGTCTATTTGTGAATATTTGCTCTGTTAAAAAAACAGAATCACCACTATTTGCTTGTGAAGAAAAGTCGCCCCAGATCCGCCTGTAGGGGACATGCCCGATCTAAGTGCAACACCGCCCGTGATCTTCATGAGCAGCGGGCGGGTGTGTGCAGCATCAGCGCGTGCCCCCCCCTGGCCCTGATCTTCCCCTGCGCCACCCCCTGATGCCCAGCCAGCCAGGACGGGCAGCGATGTTCTCCCCCCCCCCAGAACCTCGGGCCGAACGAAAGGGGGGATAGGGAAAGGGGGGGTACGAAATCTGTTGCATGCAGCTGGCTTCGGCCCCGCCGCCGGGCCCATTCCCCGATGCATGGGCGCCTCCCGGCGTGGGGAGGCGCTGGGGAAATCAGCTACGCGAGCCGATTCTCTACCCTACCCTTTGCTATCACCCCCTTTCGTTCCCCCCCAGAACCCCTCCCTTGCCATGGCCCCTTCTCGGCGGACGGGTGCTATCCATCTCCTCCGACGCCATCCTCGTGCTGGTGCTTTTCTTCGTGTGGAGGGGGGGGTCTTCGACAGGCAGGGCTGCTCGCGGTCCGTTTTTTCGATTCGTTCTGGTCCCCGCACCTCGGTTTTACGTCGGGCATGTTCCTCTACGGGATGAATATTCAAGAATAGTCAAACATACTCCTCCTCCTCTTCTTCCTCCTCCTCCTCCTACCCCTCCCCCCGAGATTGATGCTTCTGTGCTTTTTGCTGTGCCCCTCGGGCGAGGGAGGGCGTGTTTTTCTACAGGAGGAATATTCAAGAGTCATAAAAAGAGTATAGGGGACGACGTTGTGCCCCTTGGATCATTTTTGATGCGTTGTTGAAGGCTTTTGATTTTTGTATCGAATCCGCCTGTCGGAGGACATGCCCGACCTAACTTTGGTTTCGACTCCGATTTGATCCCCCGCGAATCGAGTTCGTCTCCAGCTCGCGAGGGGCGATCCGACCCCGTTCCGACTCTCCGCGCCGAGCCTGGGCGCGCTCCGACACGCTGCCGATGCGATCATTTTTTGTTTTTGTTTTGTTTTTGCGATTCGATCCACCTGAGGCGATGGGCCTGTTGTCCACCACCACCACCACCATAAGTTGGAGGTGGAGGGTGTTCTCCTCCTCCTCCTCCTGCTCCTCCTTCTCCTCCTCCTCCTCCTCCTCCTCCTCCTCTTCCTTCCCCCCATCCAACTTGTGGCGGTGGTGGTGGTGGGAAACAGGCCCATCATGAGGTCTGGCAGACATCTTCGGGCGGGCCAATGACCGGCACATCAATCGTTCCAGAGCGTTTATGGGGCGCTCGCAGGGCGTTCTCTGGAGCGCCTTGCAGCGGCCGCGGCGCCCGATGCATCCTCCAGAAACGCCGGCTCTCAGAGATCCCGGGGGCGAAGAAGAGGGGTGCGATGACTAGGGGGGGGGATCTCATGGCGGGGGCCATGATATCTCCCCAGATCTCTTGGCGCCTCTTCTTATCGCAATGCGTTCCTGGCCCCGCCCCTGGGCCGCGCGCATGCCGCCGGCCATGATTTGCGCCCCCCCCCCCCTCTTGGACTCCCCCCTCTTGGCCGCCCCCGAAGATCCCTGGTTTGTCCTGGCCCGACTTGTACCTGTTTTGGCTTCGTCTTAACGCTGGACGCTGTCGCCGATCGTTGAGTTGAAGAGCGCCCACGAAACAGAGGCATGGCTCAAGACCGAGGGCGGGCGGAAAGCTGCACGCGCCAGTCGGCATGCAGGCGCCGCGGGGGATGCCGCACAAGCTGACGCATTGCGCGTGCTCTTCTCGGCCGTTTCTGCGACTTCTGACGTGGGGGAACTGGCTCGAATAACGAACAACTCCATGAGCAGAAACTTTCGTCGGAGGAGGGCGAGTTGGGACAGCGGTTAGGCGGCCCCTCGTCGCCCGCCACGGCTTTGGTGCGCTTGGATCCCGGGAGGGGTCCCGGGACCGATTTTGAGCTGCTGTTGTCTCACCTCGCCCCCTCTCCGATTCTGGACGCAGTGCCTCTGCGGGACTGCTGTCGGACCGAGGCACCAGATCGAGGTCGGTTCGGGGAGGGTACCCTACTGTTCTTCGTGTGTGTTGGACGCTCTTGTGCGCCCTGGGGCGGGCACCCTTGGATGTTCTGTGTTTTTTGTTTTGCCAGCGGAGGGTCTCGTGTTCTTGAGGGATGTTCTTCTGTCCTAGGTTCGACTGTATACCGGAGGATGCAGCGAGGGTCCATGCCTCCAGTGCCCGAGGATGCAGTGCCCGATTCTTTCCATCTGTCCCCGCTCCCGCCTCCTGTGCGGCTGCGTCGCTGCTGCGGCCCCGTCGCCCCGTGCTCTCTTGTGCCTTGGCGTCGCTCTCTGGCACAAGCGTAGGTTGGGTAGGAGATGGGGGAGGAGA